CAATCCCGGATTCTTAGTAAAGCAAGTAAGTAAGAAAAGTGATCCAACCTTTTCCCGCGACTTCTGTTAGTCCAAGATCTCCCGTCATCCCGAAGTTTAGCTCTATTAACTAACATAGACCCTCTCGGCTCGCTTTGCTCCGACTAAAGGTATCCGGAACTTCGTGGTCTACCCTGCCATTCTCTCTATCTATGATCTCCGTCAAGCCTAAATTTCGTTTTCACTCGATCTCACGATTGGTCACGCATCTTCATCCCGTTACTTGTACCCATTTTGCTCTCTGCGTAGCCCCTTCGGAACCTTCTCCTTCTAGTGGATCTTCCTCGTTCTCTTCTCCTGCTTTTCAATTGAGTTACTTCACTTCTCCTAAGCTAATCCATGTCGAAAAACGATTGAATAGGGGTCCATTCTCGCAAGTTCGAGTGTAGGCTTGATTCCACAGCTTTCTTACCCTTACCTTAGGGCTGATTATAGGCTAATAGAAAAATGTCTTTCCATGAGAGAGATATGTAAATGAACTATAAAGCAGGTATGTCAATCCCTATTCTCCAGGTTGTACCATTACATTATAAAGCCAGCCAGCAGTGGGAAGAATTAACCTAATTTAATGCCTTCTTCTAAGCCCCTCTTTTTTAAGTGAAAGGGAGTTTGCTTAATCATCCATTATAAGTTCACTGGCAGCCCTCTGGGATACATGGGGAATCCCTATTGTAGCTGCTTTTGCCCTCGTAGTCCCTATCTCCTTTTGCAGACAGTTCCCTTGATTCTGCCTTCCGATCGGTTTGAATTGGATTCCTTCTGCCATCTTCCTAAGCTAAGACCTTGCTATGGCAATCCATACGAGCGACACGGTCCAGCCTAAGGAATACCTTTTGAAGTCCTTCTCGTTTCCCTTCCAGACATTGGGAGTTGCCTTCCTTCCAATAGCTAATTTTCTAGTTTACTGAATTATTATCCTTTTAGAGCATATGTTTTCTCTCCTGAGAAGTCAGTTAGCAATTCAGTTCCTGGTTCCATTGAGAGGCCCCTTTTGAGTAAGCAAGTTTTCAATCAGGAGTCTTTAAATAAGATCCTTCAACGACAACAGCTACCACTCACTTCACACTATCAATATCCGGATCGAAATCAAAAGTCTTTCCGGCTTAGCTAGCCCACCCCGTGTGGGATCTTTCAATTCCTTTTTGCAGGTGAGCCAGATGCCGAGTCTACCTCTGCCAAGTCCCTCTTTCTAGGCTTCTTTCGAAACCATCAATGTCAGCTGGATTTTGAAGTTGCTTCTTAGTTCGATTCTGCCTCTACTCCCAGACTCTTTTTCCTTTGCTCTACCCCTCACCATCAAGCCCTCTCCATGATCCTCGTACTGCTTTAGCTTTCGACCAGCTCTTTCACTCTAGTGCCGGGCATCTCTTATCCTCCTCGCTGGTCTCACTCTCCATCCTACATTCGCCTAGCTACAGGAGCTACTAGAAGCAACTATCACTCATTCACTCTTAGGGGGAATTCCTTATTCAACTACCAGTACAGAAATGAAATAAAGCTACCATCATCCTTTGCTGGTGACGCTGGGTCAGTGTCCCAACCCAAGGGTTCTAAGAGGAAAGTCTATGCCACACCAGCAGGGTAGCTGCATAAAAGAAAAGAAGGATGCAGTTTTTGATACACTACTTCCTAGGGCTACCTTCTCCTTGTTAGCCTTGATTACGGTGGGGGGCGGTCTCCGGAATGAGCAGTCCTCTTTGCTGGTTTTTTAAAATAAGCGGGGGCGTAGGATCGAAATGCATCCCCCTTCCCTTGCCCTTGCCTGGTGATCCCAGTTGACCACAACCCGCGGATTCATTAATGGGAGGATAGGAACGTATCCTACTGAACAACTTTGGACTTACGAAGAACGGTATGAATAGAGATCCTCCTCTTTTCCTGCCAAGGAAGATAGTAAGTCCTTGGGTGATCCTCTACCTCTGGATTTAAAAGAAAGAAATTAAAAATCAATGGCCGCGCAATCAGCGGTAGGCTTGATTGATCGTACTACATAAAAGACTGCTTGCTCGATTGCACTTTCTATATGTAGATGAAAGTGACGACTTGGTCGTTTATCGTCATTATACGATATTTCCTTGTGTGACATTTTGGCATCATCGCAAAAAGAAGTAATCCAACCCACGGAATCGATTTAAATTATTTGAATCTATATGTGTGCGGCCAAGCAAGCTAGCCAATGCGAAGCGTTCTGTGATGAAAGATAGAAAGATTCTTCTAGCTCAGGTGGAGGACATAGAAGGAAGAGGGGAATGAGGTCTACAATGGGGGAAAAGGAATTGGAATAGGAAAAAGATTGATCTCACGGAATCGGACTAGAGAAGCTGCTGCTGGTTCCGGTGATGGAGCCAATAAAGTTCAGATTTCATTTCTCACAAGGCAGTCGGGTTTTTGCCATCTTTCAACTCATTCGACATCCTTTTCATTCGATGTGTTCCCATCCATTAAAGAAGAGGAAGAGACCTAAATCACGGAGATTCTTCCTACCCTCCTTTTGTTTGTTTTAGACACCTCTTCAATAAAAAGAAAGAGAAAAACATAGGAAAGGCAAGGACGCTGAAGCATAGGCAAAGCAAGCTCAGTCAGATTCAATTGACCGAGACTGGCGAGAGAGGACTTCTGACTCCTAAAGATAAAGAGGGAGGATTCCGGGGTTTCCGTGAGTTCAGGGCTTAGGGGTGGGGCTGACTGTCTTTAATAGAAAGAAGGCCAGCCTAGCCAAGCAAGCCAGTAGTCAGAGAACGGACCACGGGAGAACCAACTACACTCACTAAGAAAGAAAGACCCTGGGTGGGGTTCGTTGAGGAAACTCGATGGTAGCATTCTTATCTTTTCTTATAGTGGTCTCTTAAGAGTATTGGATTGGAGTCCAGTAGGGAAATATATCTGAGGTCTCACTCTTGCCAGCTTTCTGTCCAGGGTGTCTCGTTCTCGGAGTGGTATCGTGCTAGGTTTCACTCTCCCCTTTCGTCATAAGGCGTGGTTCTGTCCCCGCCTTCTTCTCCTCTCTCAGAGAGGCTCACCCATACGGTGTTGGTTGTTAGTTCCTTCACGGAGCTGCGCCTCCTTAACTTGCTTTTTTACCCTCCCACCGCCCTTCTTTCTGTGCTTTGCTGCTTAAGTTAAGTGCGAAAGCTAAAGCGCTTAAGCTAGGTCGGATTGCCCTAAAACTTGATAAAGTGACCACTTAGAGCGGATGTCCCACTCTGGTACTTCGAACCATATCTACCTACGAGAATAGAAAGGAGCAGAAGATGAGAACCAAAAGGAACTTAAATAAGTTTTCAAGTTAAAATATAAAAAGCCTTGAAAAAATTCCGGAAAGCTTTTGGTTGGAAGGCATCCTCCCAGAACCGAGAAAAGCATAATAAACTGATACGCAACTCTCCTTACCTCAGCTCATCAATCGAGTTTCGATCAAGGAATTGAAACCGAAACAGATCTTCTTCGCTCTGCTGAACGAATGAGTCTAAATGGCGGGTCAGGCCATCGAGGGTAAACGGTTAGCCATGCCCTGGCGCGTGAAGCAAGGGCGGGGTGTTGATAGGGCGAAATGAGTCCGAAAAGAATGAAACGAAGTCAGACAGGTATCTGCTGTTGACCAGGGATCAACCGCTCAACGGAACACACAGATTAAGCAACAGGAGAATGACAACTTTGACTTTTCGCCGACCCAAAACTACACTTAAACTCGGAAGCTTCGTTCAGGTAGACAACTCTAAGAGAACCTCAGAAAAGTTTAGGCTCACTTCCAATTGTTAAGATCACCCTTCTTCACGGCAGAGGGACTAGAAAGATGCGTCTGGCCTCACTCCGCTCGCCTTCTCTTGGTCATTCTTTCGAGAATAACGCGAGAATAACGAGGGCCCCGTCCTCAACATGGAAGCTTCCAGACCTGCTTCGTACCAGCCGGTATTTAATTTGATTCGGGGCGCTCCCGAACTCGCTCTAACGTCGTGTCTAGGTCACAACGGTGACTAATGCAATTTCTTTGTTCCAGTGGACAGCGTTCCATCATCTGGCTTCAAACCGCTCCCGACGGTAGCTCAATCGCACCTTCACTCAACCAGATACCACAGCAGTACTCTCAGAAGCAAGAGCTCATAGGAAAGGTTCGAAAATTGTGATTCTGTAAGATAAGAGTGGAGATTCACCCTTGTAAGGCCTCCGGACTTCCCAATATTTGTGAAGTATCCGTCGGGAGAACACAATCTGACATTGAATGCTTGAGCCATTGCTCGGACAATGAAAGACCTTAAAACTGTCCCATGCCACACGGGCTTTGAAATGGCAACTAGACTAGTTAGTAATTTCGTACTTCTGTCGTTGGGGAGCGGAAATGGCACTTTACAGCAAGAAAAAAGAACAACGAAAGTCGAAGATAGGCTTGTAGCCTCACCGGAATCAGATTCTGTAGCTGATACAACTGATCTTCCTTCATCTCCTTTCCCATCCGCCCGGTGGGGCGATTCATGTTCTTCCGATTACGGATGTTGTGCCACTTGATGTTTTGGAAAGTACGAAGCTCGAGTAGGAGAGAGGGAAGGTCGGGCTGGCTTTGCTTGACTACTATGCCGATTGATGGCTTGAGTATGAAGGTGCCTATGACTACTGCTTGCTTGAAAGATTGCCGGGGAGAGGGGAAGGCACCGAGGGCAGGGGGAATGGTTGGAGAGTAGGCGTCGCTTCTTCCTACGAAGCCTGTTTCGGATTTGGTCCGGTTCAGGGTGCTTTGACTCTGCTTGGCTGGCGGGAACGAGTGCAGGTGAACGAAGAAGCTTACCATTCCGCCGTCGGTCAGTTATTCAGCTAGGCAGGGTATCAACGGCACCACAAAGCAAGCCAACCTCGTACACAGAACGAACAAACTCAGGCTCAGCCAGGGCCCTACTCTCTTCCAAAAAGAGAACAGCTCCATCCCGCCCTATACGGGATGCCGGACCGGAATCCGCCTCTTCTCTGTTGGTTGAGAAGTACTCTTCTCTGGTAGGGGAACCGTTTGCAAGGGAAGAGTCAGCAAGAGCAGCCCAGAGATGAGAGGAAGAGGCGTGGTATCCACTGGTTTCAGTAGTAGGAGTTGCCCATTGTTCACCGAAGTCGTCAGAGAGGGAATCCTCGTGCTTTTCATTGGACAAAGAGGCTATCTAAAGTCTATTAATCAATAAGCAAAGTCTAAGGAAGACATATATCAATACCAATAAATACCAATCCCCCTACTCTCTACTAATGACATATGATTTCACTGTAGAGCAATAACATAGAGAAATAGAATATAGTAAGGTAGTATAGTGTAAAAAGGACCAAGGACGAATAAAGAAGAAGAAGGAGTAGGAGCTAATTCGAACGGAATCGAATGATTACGAGATAAACAATGAGACAAAGCCAAGAGGGGAGAGCACTGAGACAATTCACTTCACGTACAGGGAAGTCCGCTGGTAGGAATTCTTCAGGGCGTATTACTGTTTTTCACCGAGGGGGTGGATCGAAGCGATTGCAGCGAAGAATGGATCTGAAACGAAGCACTTCGTCTATGGGCATTGTAGAAAGGATAGAATATGACCCTAATCGTTCTTCTCGGATCGCTCTAGTACGATGGATCGAGGGGGTGCAGCTACGCTGCCAGAGGAAATGCAAGACGATAGAAGAGTTCGCTCCGCCGCGTAAGATCCTCGAACCTACCACGCCCACCATACGCGGACTCTTTTCGTTCTCTTCCCTGTCCGTGAAGGTGGATCAAAGAAAGGTAGCTTGCTTCTCTCCTGGACTGATGGAGGCTTATGTAGTGGTCGGCCTTCCTACCGGAATGCCTCCTTGGTCGAAGAGCCCCTTTACTAGTACTAGTAAGGGCGCAGGAAGCAAAAAAACTTGCGCGAAGGACGTCTTCTTCTCTGCCTTCTCCTCTCCAAAGGCCAAGGGGGAGACTGCATCCCTTTCCTTCGGTAGCTCTTTGAGTTTCCCAAGGATAGCGGTAGCTGGGGCAAAGCCCGCTTTCTTCGCTCCGCGAATGAGAGAGAAAGTAAGAGGAAAAAACACGTTCTCTCTTTGCGAGGTCCGAAAGTGGAGAACACATAGCATTCTCTGGGCACATAGGATCAAACGTAAAGCAGCGCTTTCTTGGCATAGGCGGCAAGAGACTTTAAGGCTTGTTGGAGCTTCTGAGCATAACGAATCGAAGCCGAAGACGGATCAAGGTAGCTTGCCTGCCAACCCGATAGGCGAAGTGCCGAAGGATGGAGCGTGCAAAGTCGATCGTGCACCTGTCGTGTGACCCGTTGGTCCTAAGCAATGTCTTGCGCGAAGCGACCCACCTAGAAACAGCTCTCCTTTAGGGGAAAATGGAACTTCGATCGGATGCGGGTATTCAATCCCGCCGCTGAGATGTCCAGCGGATTCTGGGGCCTTGACGAATGGCCGGCCACCTTTTACGTTAGAAGAGCAAAAGGCCCGGGGCATAGCAGGATGAACCAATGTGAATGAGTGTAAGCTTCGTTGTCCGAACACGATTGGTGCTGACCACACTAGGTGCTACCGCGGTAGCAAGAGAGGCCAGGCGGTGACAATTGAGAGGTTGTCACTGAGCATTCCTAGTCACACGGGAAGAGAGGTCAAATGGCAAGGCCATACGCCCGTTTGGCTCCTCGCGGAGTATAGCTCACATCCAAACATCTGATTGGGGAACGGGGCAACGCCCAGGAAGCTCCGGCGGAAAGGGAAGGCCCGCCAGGCCGTATGCCCATGGGTGCAGGATTCTTCGAAAAAGCGCGGGCTGACTCGGAGGCCTAGGACATTGACTTAGCAACGAATGAAGGGAAGCTCCTCTAGCTTTCTCCGCCAGCAGCTTATGTAGTGGTCGGCCGTCGCTCCCTAAGCTTCGCTTCTTGTAGTCGGCCCGCCTCCCTTCATTTGCTTGCCCCCTTCCAGCTCAGAATGCCTAATGCCTATTATCTAGTTCTAGAAGCTAACCACCAGAAGCTCACCCTTCGGGCTTCCAGCGCAGGAGGCCAAGCATTCTGCCAGACGTCCCGGCCTGGGGTTCGCCTTTGATACTTCAGTAGATCTTCAAAAAAGAAAGACTTCAATGCAGCCTTAACTACAACTACATTACGCAAGCTCCACCAATACCTACCTATAGAGTCAAAAAAGTACCCGTGACGGTGACTTTCTAGGTTTATGGATTCAGTCAGCTAAACTCCATCCAACTCCTCAATAAATATCAACAAACAACATGTCGTGACCGGTGTAGCTAAGTTTCCAAAGGTGAACAGCCCCCTGTCCTTTATAGTCGTAAAGGGCTTCTCAGAAAAGTAAGGAAGGGGGCATTCGAAAGGCCGACCACTCATAGGCCTTCTGGTAGGAAGGCCGACGACTACACGGACTCTATACCAGAGCGATAGCGAAGCCAAGCTGCCGCCTATCCTATCCTATAGGCCTATAGGCGAAGGGGTTTACCGACGAAGACCTATGATATAGTAAGAAAGTACGAAATAAAATAAGTACGTTAAGGTTACGAAGTCACTTAGCCGTCTACAAAGGGAAAGGCGTCGGTACGGAGCCACGTCAGCTGTGGATATAGACTAGGCATAAGGAACGGAGTCTTAAACTATGGACCGAGACTACACTAAGGAACAAGGAAAAGGAAGTTTGACTGAGCAAAGAAGTCAAGGAACGAAGCTGCTTCTCTAATAGCCCCGTTGAATAGGAGGGCGAAGGCTTTTTGAAAAAGTCTTTTTTGATGTCTCATTTTTTTCTAATTTCTATTTAGAGAGAGGGGGCTTCCAGTTCTTAGGAAGAGCCGTACGAGGCAGCTCACGTACGGTTCGGGAGCCGAGCCCCGGCACAGGGGCTTAGGTCAACACTTATATAATAGCCAGTCATCAATTGGAAGCAGGCAAAATGTTGATAAATTGCGATTGGTCCAAACCTTCGACCCGCGACTTATTGCGACCCGCCCGGAATGCCCATCCATACTAAGACCTTATTCACACAGCGAAGAAAGGCCGAGTGGAAGGGGGCAGTCAGCTGGCTGCTTCTTGGCCACGCCTCCCCTGCTTATAGACAGGCGAGACTCTCTCTAAATTCGAAAATAGAAATCGCATACCAGTAGTCGATATACGTATAGGAAGATGGTTACATTATATTAAATGTCATTCAGGCCAAGGCGCAAGGCTGGCTCGAGCCGCAGCGCAGGAACTTTAGCTAAAATAATGAAGGCCCCCTACACTCTCTCTTAGGCTTGTGCGGCTACCTTCGGGTGTTGAAAAAGTCATTGATTCCCGATGCCGAGCTACTATTGGTATAGTTTCCAATCCCAACCATGATGCACGAAAGCTTAGAAAGGATAAAGCCGGTGGTTAGGCAGACGCCCCATTGTTCGTGGTGTTGCAATGAATTCAGTGGATCATCCTCATGGAGGAGGTGAGAGGCGCACAAAAGGTAATGAAATTCGGCCTCACCTTGAGGGCCCCAGCTGGATTTCGGGCAGGAGTGGGGAAAGGCAGAAATGAGTTCATGCCACGACGATCTATATGGAAGGGAAGGGCAGTTTTTTTTTTATGTTGAGAAAGTCTTTTTTTATTTAGTTCTCCAACTCCGGATGAGTTTGGGCCTCCGGCGCCTCTTTTGAGGACGGGAGGAAAAAAACTGGATTTGGTGCCCTCCGACGATCCCCCTCGGGCTCGGGGGGGCCTTTGCCTTCATTTCTTGAAGAGCACGAGGTCACCTCTTCATCAATATAAAGGAAGGCCAGAAAAAATGTTTTGAATTCCCCCAATAAAAAATAGCGGTAAGTGATGAGGGGGCGGCTTCTCTTGTGGTAGTAATTGCGAACTCATTCCATTTTTGGAGGATTGGTTCCCTGTTCCTGCGGCTGAGAAGCCTCGACGCTCTGCCCCCCCTTAATCAACCTCTAAAAAAGAAAAAAAGCCCTTTCCCCTTTTCATAATAATAAGGTAAGCTCCAGAACCGGCGGAATTGCCCAATCCTATTTTTCCTTGAAGTAAGTCCAGAGCGGGAGCAACTGATACAGCAAATTCAGACTCAGACTAAACTCGATCACTTGGCAAGAGGGGGTTTAGGAGGTCTTTTTGAGCGCATGTTGATCATTTCGAAAAAGCTGGTTTCGTCTCATTTTCCGGAAAGCCAGTCATACTATTCCACTTTAGCTAAGCTAATGATGAAAGAGGATCTGGATTTGTCTGCACTGCAGATGATGATGTCCACTCCTGGTTCGATGCGCTTAACGAAAGAGAACTCTCTAGATTAAGTATAAATCTCGTAATTAAGCAGCATCCTTTATTTAAGTGAGTAGGGGTGCGCCGGACCGCCGACGAATAATAGGTACCCCCACCTCAGGCAGAGTTAGTGAGCCGTGTAATAGGCGACCATTTCGCGCGGTTCGGGGGGGCACTCACGTCAGCCGCCGGCGCCCGACTGCGTCTTAACCCCTATCCCATTTTTGGGCCAATTCCCCCTTTGTACTACCAAAAAATGAGATTCTTGCCGAATCCGAGTTTGCTGCTCCAACCATTACCAAACTAATACCTATTCTGTTTAGTACTTCAGGTGCTTCTGTTGCGTATAATGTAAATCCCGTAGCGGATCAATTCCAACGAGCCTTTCAAACTAGTACTTTTTGTAATCGACTCTATACCTTCTTCAATAAACGCTGGTTCTTCGATCAAGTTTTGAATGACTTTCTAGTCAGATCCTTCCTGCGTTTCGGATATGAAGTCTCATTCGAAGCTTTAGACAAAGGCGCTATTGAGATATTGGGCCCTTATGGTATCTCGTACACATTCCGACGATTGGCCGAGCGAATAAGTCAACTTCAAAGTGGATTTGTT